TGTCCTGCTCGCCCGGGGCTGTCCCCACGCCAGGGTTTGCCCGGTTCCCTGGACTGGAGCATCCCGGTCCTGCCATTCCAGGGGCGGTTCTGATTTTTGGGATAATTTTAACCCCTTCAGAGCCACCTCCGCATTAACTCTTCCTTTCCCAAATCATGGAATGGCAGCAAGGACAGGGATAAAAAGCAATAATAACCAGGGAGCTGCTTCGCTCGCCCCCTGAAAAGCTATTTTTAAGCATTTAAATATTTCCCAGAATTTTGGAAAAGTCCTTTCTCCAAGTTCCTGCCCACAGCCGGGACTGGGAGTTACTGGTGAAGGGGACACTGGGATTGTGCAGAGCTCCAGTGACACCCTCACCTGCAAATCTGGCACCTGGAGAAGTGCCAGGGGGGTTAAAATCCGATTTTTTTTTTTTAGGTGGCTTGTTTAAGTGACATTTTTTTACGTGTATTTTTTTCGGGTTGTCATTTTTTTAGGTGTCATTTTTTTAGGTGTAGGGGTTTTTTTGTGTGTCATTTTTTAGGTGTGTTTTTGGGGGTGGGTTAATTTTTAGGCGTAGTTTTCTTAGGTGTAATTTTTGGGGTGCCATTTTTAGGAGCCATTTTTGTGGTATCATTTCTGGGTGTAGTTTTTTTTAGGTGCCACTTTTGTGGTGTCATTTTTAGGTGCAATTTTTGGGGTGCGATTTTTGGGGTGTAGTTTTTTTAGGTGCCATTATTGTGATGTCGTTTTTGGGGTGTAGTTTTTTTAGGTGTTATTTTTGTGCTGTCATTTTTATGTGTAATTTTTTGAGTTTCATTCTTAGGTGCCCTTTTTGGGTGTAGTTTTTTAGGTGCCATTTTTGGAGTGTCATTTTTGGGTGTAATTTTTGGGGGTGTCGTTTTCAGGCACCGTTTTTGTGGTGTCTTTTTGGATGTAGTTTTTTTAGGTGCCATTTTTGTGGTATCATTTTCAGGGTGTGATTTTTGAGGTGTAGTTGTTTTAGGCGCCATTTTTGTGCTGTCATTTTTGGGGTGTAATTTTTTAGGTGCCATTTTTGGGTGTCATTTTTAGGTGCCATTTTTGGGGGCCATTTTGAGGCGCCATTTTTCTGCTGTCATTTTTGGGTGTAGTTTTTTTAAGTGTCATTTTTGGGGTGTGATTTTTGGGGTGTGATTTTTGGGTGTAGTTTTTTTAAGTGTCATTTTTGTGCTGTCATTTTTGGGTGTAGTTTTTTTAAGTGTCGTTTTTGTGGTGTTATTTTTGGGGTGTGATTTTTGGGGTGTAGTTTTTTAGGCGCCATTTTTGGGCGCCATTTTGAGACGCCATTTTTGGGCGCCATTTTTGTGCTGTCATTTTTTGGTTTGTAGTTTTTTAGGTGTCGTTTTTGGGGTGTGATTTTTGGGGTATAGTTGTTTTAGGTGCCATTTTTGGGCGCCATTTTGAGACGCCATTTTGGGCGCCATTTTTGTGCTGTCATTTTTGGGTAGAGGTTTTTTAAGTATCATTTTTGGGTGTCATTTATAGACGCCATTTTGAGGCGCCAATTTTCTGCTGTCATTTTTGGTTTGTAGTTTTTTAGGTGCCATTTTTGTGGTGTTATTTTTGGGGTGTAGTTTTTTAGGTGCCATTTTTGGGTGCCATTTTGAGACGCCATTTTTAGGCGCCATTTTTCTGCCGTCATTTTTGGGTAGAGGTTTTTTAGGTGCCATTTCCTCACCGGTCTGGTTGAGCTGCAGGGTGCTCTTGCTCCACTGGGACAACCCCACGATGGCCACCATCTTGGCGCCCAGGCTGGAGCGTCGCTTCTTGCTGGCGGTGACGGTGACGGAGTCGGCGCTGCCGCGCGCGCTCTTCTCCAGGCTGTACATCTCGCCGCTGATGCTGGAGCTGCGCACCACGTTCCTGGAGGATGAGGAGCTGCCATCCCCGTTGAACATGGTCACAGCGCCCAACGGGCACCGGCACCGGCCCCGCTGCCCGGGATCAGCTGCGGGGACAAGTTGGGGACACTGAGTTGGCGTCGCTGGGGTGTCCCCGCAGGGATGGGTGGGTGGGAGGTGGTGGGAAATTCGGGAAATTCAGGTGGCATGACTGAATGAGGGATGGGAATGAAGGAAAGGAAATTCAGGTGGCACGACCCACTGAGGGATGGGAATTAGGGAAATGTTTTTTCCCCCAGGGAAAGGAAATTATGGTGGCACGACCCACTGAGGGATGGGAATTAGGGAAATGTTTTTTCCCCCCCAGGGAAAGGAAATTCCGGTGGCACAACCCACTGAGGGATGGGAATTAAGGAAATGGGTTTTTTCCCCCAGGGAAAGGAAATTATGGTGGCACAACCCACTGAGGGATGGGAATTAGGGAAATGGGTTTTTTCCCCCAGGGAAAGGAAATTATGGTGGCACAACCCACTGAGGGATGGGAATTAGGGAAAGGTTTTCCTTCTGGGAAAGGAAATTCCAGTGGCACAACCCACTGAGGGATGGGAGTTAAGGAAATGGTTTTTTTCCTCCCAGGGAAAGGTTTTTCCTTCAAGGAAAGAAAATTCAGGTGGCACAACCCACTGAGGGATGGGAATTAAGGAAATGGTTTTTTTTCCCCCAGGGAAAGGAAATTCCAGTGGCACAACCCACTGAGGGATGGGAATCAAGGAAATGGTTTTTTTCCCCCCAGGGAAAGGCTTTTCCCTCAAGGAAAGGAAATTCCGGTGGCACAACCCACTGAGGGATGGGAATCAGGGAAAGGTTTTCCCTCAGGGTTTTTTTTTTCCCCCATCCCTAGGCTGGGAAGTGCCCAGGCTCTCCAGGGAATGGGAACATTCCCGAGGCTGCCAGAGCTCCAGGAGTGTTTGGACACCAGGGATGCACAGGGTGGGATTTTGGGGTGTCTGTGCAAGGCCAGGGGTTGGACTGGATGATCCTTGTGGATTCCTTTCATCTCAGTACATTCCAAGATTTTTCCCCACCCGTGGCAGCAGCAGGAAGGGGTCAGGACCCCTGGGGTGAACATCCAGCCCTGCCCCAGCTCCCTGCAGGACCGGGACACTCCCAAAGTCCAGGAGACACCTGGATGGGCACCAGCCCCATCCACCCCTGAGGACATCCAAAATCACACCCAGCCAAGTTTTCCCTGCACATCCCCTTCTCCAAACCCTGTCCAGGTGATTCCACCCCGGGATGGGAATCCCTGGAGCCGACAGTGCCAGGGGAGCAGGAGCACTGGAGGTGGATAGCAGACCTCCCACACCTCCCTGCCGCCTTCCCTGGCCCATGAATATTTAAATTCCAGCAGGATGGAGCATCCATCTTCCAGGGAAAGCTGGATTATTAACTGCAGGCCAAGTGAAGCCACTTTGTGATAATGGATGGAGGCAGCGCCTGGAAAAATGTTTCCCTTTCAGGAGAGAGGGATGGAGACGAGCACGGGGACGGGGAGTGGGGCAGGGTGGGGGCTCTGCTGCTCCACAGCGGCCACAGCTGGGATGAGACCTGATGGGAATCCTGGATGAGAGCTGGCAGGAGCTGCGGGATCAGCTCCAGCACCGCTGAACTCGCGGATTTATCAATTCCAGGGGTGAGTGGGTGATTAGTCATTAATGTCATTAATGAGTTCCTGCCTGGCTGGGGTTTTCTCTCCTGGCTCTGCCTGGGCATTGACCCATGGCCCCCACTGGGGGTGGGGGAGTCAGCACTGACCCCCAAAGGGATGGATCCCTGGGATAAAGCTGTTTATTGTGGGGTGAGCCCATTCCAGAGGGATGGATCCTGGGATAAAGCTGTTTGGTGTGGGGTGAGCCCCATTCCAGAGGGATGGATCCCTGGGATAAAGCTGTTTATTGTGGGGTGAGCCCCATTCCAGAGGGATGGAGCCACTGGCACCTGGTGCATCCCAGCTCTGGAGCTGCCCCATCACAGCTCCAATGTCCAGCACCTCCTCGAGGAAGGGTCAGGGCTGATCCTCTGCCTTGGGGACATTTGGGGTGACATTTTCCAATGCCACCCGCCCCTCTCAGGCTCCAAACCTGCTGCAATCTTTTCCCTTAGGATGCAGCTGACACAGGGAATGGATGCCAAACACTTCCCCAGCTGCAGTGCTCCCATGCCTCAGTTTCCCCACCAGCAAACCTGGCTTAGGCTGAGCCTGAACAAACACAAATCCCTCAGCCAGGCCCAGCCCAGGCCCCTGCACATTCCAGGTGAGAAATCCCCGGAACACCCCAAGCCTGCAGGGCCAGGAGGACACAAAAATCTCCTGTTGCTGCTCCCCACTCTGTGCTCCAACCACCCCGAGAGCACCAGGCTCTGGTGGGAGCAAATTAGATCAGGAGAGCAGAGCACTAATGGGATCATTTCCAATGCAACACACACAGGGATTATCCACTGCAAAGGAAGCAGAGCTCGCTCCTCAGCCCGAAGGGAGGATTTGCTTTCCCCTGCTCGTGATTTTACTCCTTATCTCTCTGCACAATCAGCTTCTGCCCAGAGTGGGTGCTGGGTGGAGGGTTCAGGGGGTGCCCAGTGCTGAGATGAGCTGGGCTGGAGAGTGGGTTTGAGTGCTGGAGCCTGTGGCTGCTACAGCTGAGCCGGCCTTGGCACAGCCACAGCATCCTTGGCAGGGCCACAGCAGCCTCAGCATGGTCACAGCATCCTCAGTGTCACCACAGCACCCTCAGCACCATCACAGTGCCCTCAGCACCACCACAGCATCCTCAGCACAGCCACAGCACCCTTGGCAGGGCCACAGTACCCTTGGCACCATCATAGCATCCTCAGCATGGCCACAGCACCTTTGATGCCACCACAGCATCTTTGGTACCATCACAGCATCGTTGGTGTCACCACAGCATCCTCAGTATGGCCACAGTGCCTTTGACATGGCCACAGCATCCTCAGCACCACCACATCCTTGGCAGGGCCACAGCACCCTTGCCACCACCAGAGTGTCCTCAGCATGGCCACAGCACCTTTGATGCCACCACAGCATCCTCAGCACAGTCACAGCATCCTTGGTGCCACCACAGCATCTTTGGTACCATCACAGCATCCTTGGCATAGCCACAGCACCCCTGATGCCACCACAGCACCCCTGATGCCACCACAGCACCCTCGATGCCACCACAGCACCCCTGATGCCACCACAGCACCCTCGATGCCACCACAGCACCCCTGATGCCACCACAGCATCCTTAATGCCACCACAGCACCCTCAGCACAGCCACAGCACCTCTGATGCCACCAGAGCACCCTCGATAACACCACAGCATCCTTGGTGCCACCACAGCACCCTCGATGCCACCACAGCACCCTCCATGCCACCACAACGCCCTCGATGCCACCACAGCCCCCCCAGCCCCGGCTCCCCCTTCCCGGCAGCGCGGGGGGAGTGAGGGAACCGCAGCATTTTCCCTTCAAATCCCCATTTCCCCCTTCCCTTCCCTGCGTTCATTCCCTGTATCCCAAAGCACGGCGCTGCTCCGAGCAATCCACCGTGACGCCGCATCCAAACCCTGCCATGGGAACGCAATTCCCGAGCTGCCGGGGGCTCCCGCAGCGCTCACCGCCAGCACGCTCCGTCCTTGCGGGAATCCACGAGCACCGGGAAGCTCCTCAGCGAAACAAACCCCGATGGCGAGGGATGCACGGAGCCCCCGGGCAGCGCCGGGAGCCGTGTCATGGCTGGAGCCGATGGATGAGCACAAAAAAACGGGATCCCTGTTGCGTTTGGATGGAGGGGGCCGAGCTCTGCCCCTCCCCTCTCGTGGTACCCCCCAAAAAAATATCTATATTAAAAGAGGAGATGGAGGCGTCTTACCGGCGCTGTGCCGGGGAGGAGGAGGAGGAGGAGGAGGAAGAGGAGGAGGAGGAGGCTCAGCTCAGCTTCCCAGCCCCATCCCGGCCGGATCCGGAGGGTGCCAGGGCGGGTGAATCTTTCCAGGGTTCTGGAGAGCCGGGGCTGTGCTGGCGCTGCTTCAGCATCTCCCTCAGCATCTCCATGGTTACACGGCTGACCCAGTTCTCCCAGCCCCGAGCAGGGGCACAGTGGTCCAGCAGGGTGGGATGTACCGGGAGCATCCCTGAACTGGGATTTAGGGAGATGGTGACCCTCCCTTCCCCACCCCGGATCCCTACAGACAGATCCAGGTGCCTTAGGAAAGGCAGGGCTGGGAAAAGTGGGGCTGGAGGGGTCACAGGTGACGCCAAGGTGGGGATGGATCCCGGTGTCAGGGGCTGCAGGTGTGGGGAGGAAAATCCCAGGGCTGGGAAGCAGCACTGGCCCCAAAAACGCCACAGAAACAGGAATGAGGGGTAAAATATTGATGGGAAAAATGAATGCTTTGGGAAAAGCTCTGGAGAAGGAGGGAGCAGCCCCGCAGGTGCCCCCACACAGGTGGGAAAGCAGCAGGAGGAGGAGGAGGAGGAGGAGGAAGGTGCTAAATGAGCTCGGTGGGGGTGGCTGGGAATGCTGCCTTGCCAGGGAAGGAGGCAGAGGGATTTTAGGAGCTGTTTTTTCCCTCAAAACCATCGAGGTGGGTGTTCCCAGGGAAAAACGGGGCTGGAAACCCCCCGGCAGTGGGGCAGGAGGTTCTTCTTGTCCCCTGTGCTTGAGCCTGGAGGGAGAGCACCGAAAACTGTGGATGTCTGGAGCAGGCAGGTCCTAAAAATCAGCTTTTTTTTTTTAAATAAAAAGGTTGCCAGAGCTGCCACCCCGAGGCCCTGCCAGCTCTGGACAAGCTGCAGCATCCCAGTTCCCACGCACATGCTCCTCCAAGAATTTGGGAATAATGCTCGGCTTATTTCCCCTAAAAGTATTTCATTCTAATTAATTGCTTCAGCTTTGATAAGCAGCTGCTTGTATAATTTTAATTGCCCAACAAGGGGTATAATTGAGGGCATGTGAGCTGGGAATTTGGGAGGAACTCCAGGTCCTGGAATTCAGCTTCTCCTGGCTCAGGCAGGTTAGCAAAGTTCTGTCCTGGCTGGAATTTGC